TAGCATCAGATTTTTTAGGAGGAATTTAGAATTAAGCCATTCCCATCTGTACTTGAGAGGAATTTGACCACTTTCACCTAACAATGCATAAATAGGGGTAGATCTCATACATCCTGTTATGATACGAATACTCTTATATTGTAATTTATCTAACCTGTTGATTAGCGCCTTGGGACAATCTGATAATATTTGACATCCATAATCTAAAATGACTCTGTATCAAACCATTATGAACTATCTGGAGAGTTTTAGGATCACTACCCCAATATGTTCCACATAGAGCTCTCATTACATTCAAGCTACGACTTACTTTTATTTCTATTAAATCCACATATGATTTCCACTTTAGGTTTTTTTGAATAACTACCCCTAAATATTTCACTGTATCGACCCATTTAATTGCATGACCTCTAATTTTTACGTTTGGGGGATTAATTTTACGATTTCCTATTTGAAATATAATTGCTGAGGACTTATTGTAAGATAGACTAAAGTTGTGTTCTAATAACCAGAGATCCATCCTTTCCATTAATAAGTTCAAAGAATTAATTAATTTAAGTAGATCTGCCCCACTAACCAAAATAACCAAATCATCTGCATACTGTATCAGATTACAACCGTTGGGAATAATCTCGTATAAAGATAGGGAATACAGATTAAATAATATTGGACTTAGAGGGGAGCCTTGAGGTAAACCCTGATTAGTTTTTCTTGGACCATGAATTTGACCAGTTTGGTCCTTTACATAAATACTACGATCATTTAATATAGAATAAATGACATTTGCTAGTTGAATAGGAATGTTATATTTAATTAGTTTAGAGTATAAAAGAGAGATGTTGACACTATCATAAGCTGCTGAAATATCTAGGAAAAGTCCTACGGTAAATTGATTCAATGAAAATCCTTGTAGTATTTTAGAATTTAGTAATGAAATGCATTCCATGCAACCTCTACCCCTTCTAAAACCAAGTTGCAATGGATTTAAAATATGATTGTGTTCTAAGAACCACTCAATTCTGTTTTTAATTAATGTTTCTAGCATTTTACCAACACACGATGATAGAGCTATTGGCCTATAATTAAGTGGGTTAGTTTTATCCTTTCCATGCTTAAGAATGGGTAATATGACCGTTTGTTTCCACGAAAGAGGAACCTGTCCCTTCCGGATACATTCATTAAAGAATTGAATTAAGAGTAATGATCCAGAGTGCGGTAAATTTTTTAACATTGAGTATGAAACCTGATCAGGACCCGCAGCAGAATCAGTTTTAGAAAAAAGAGTATTGTGATATTCATCAAATGATATGGGTTTCTCAGAATACTGCAGAGGACTGAAAAGTAATTCAAAGTCGCCAGAAATAGGTGAGAGAAATGTTAAAATTTCCTGAGCTACCTCCTCTGGTGGCAATTGAGATAAAAGAGACAATTTACTACCAGAAACCTTGTTAATTTTATTCCAAACATCTTTAAGGGGAGGTGTTTCTATTTAGTTTGCTACAATAGGATCTAAAGCTTATTTTTCGCTTTAATTTTAGGAATTTTCTAGCTTTCGCTATGAATTTTTTAGCCTCTATATAGTTTTCAACACTAGGAGAATTTTTAAATGTATTAATAGCTGAAACTCTCTTTTGTATTATATGAGCACATGAATCATCCCACCATGGAATGTGATATTTGTTGTTATAAGAGGAGGTCCAAGGAATTGATGTGTCTGCCACTGATGATATATATTCGATAAAATTTTCATAGTCCTCAATTGGAAACGATGAGAAAAATACACTCTAGTTTTTCATGGAAAGAAACCCAATCAGCCTTTTTGAAATTTCTTCTTTTAGAAACCTGATTAAAGTCCTGTGTTGGGATACCGACATAGCATAGAATGGGAAAATGATCACTAGATCCTGTATCTGGAATGGTGGTCCATCCTCTAATTTTGGGTGCCACATCTATCGAAGCCAATGATAAGTCAACTACTGATTTGCTGCTACCAGGACGAACCAATCTTGTTGGAGAACCATCATTAAGAAAAATTAACTTAAGATCTTCTGCAGTTTGCAAAATATTTCTGCCATTAACACTATCTCTTGAGCTTCCCCATGCTCTATGATTACAATTTAAATCACCATGATCAGTAGAGGTTTGTTAATCGAGTTGACCAAAGAAGACCAGCATTTTTTGGAAATGAGATTGTCCAAAGGACAATACATATTTAATATATTTAAATTATACTTGGGGTAAAAAGGTGAGTTGAAATTGAACATCTGAATTAAAACCAGGATTGTTAATATGAATATCCCGAAAATCTATATTGTATTTGATAAGGGTAATTAAGCCCCCATATCCATCACCTCGATCCTTTCTGATAATGTGATACCCTCTGCATCTAATTGTATGTTGGTTAGAGAGCCAAGACTCACTAATGAGGACAATATCAGGGTTATAGTCTTTAATAAGGACTTTTAAGTTATCAACATTGGTATTATAAGATCTTATATTCCATTGTATAATAGTTAGTGGGGCGTGATGATTGAAAATATAAATTGTTAAAAACATGTATGTACCAGGTCAAGACGAGAGGGGAATTAGTATTCTGAGTCCTCAGACCCAGATACCTCCATCCCTCCTCGTTCCTGACTAGTACTTATAGCATTATGTGATACACTTTTGTTTTTATGATTACCAATCTCTACATTTAATCCACCATGATCCTTAGGAGAAGTATAATTTTTATTAATCAATTCACCAATAAATGTCATAACCAAATCCTTGTGATCTTGATTGAGCATTAATATAGCCTGATTTAAATCTCTTTGGGTCTGAGAATTATTTATAAAGTGACTAGGAGATTCTTTGGGGGATCTCCCATTAGGATTGTTCAATACTTTAGAATGGGAACTTTGATCAAAGCTATATTTAATGTTCTTTTCCTTTTTGATGGAGTAGATTTTGTAATCTGACTGTAGGAAGCAGAATTTGAAGACAGGGATGTAGCAATTGATCTCCTCTCTTGAATTGAAATACTATTTGCAGAGGATGGATTAATTACAAGATTAGGAAATTCCTTAATGTTCAACTTTGGGCTAGATGTTTCCCTTGGAATGTTTTGGTTAGCTTCATAATATGATAAGTTGGCAAATGACATAAGTTCTTTAATACTCTTTTGTCTTTTTTTTTCTTTACATTCAGGATGTCTAGAATCATGATCTGCTGTTTTACAGAACATACAAAATCTACTGCACCGTACAAACGAGGGAGAATCATGATTTGTACCACATGTAACACATCTGTTTTTTCCCTTGCATTGAGAAAGAGAATGCCCATATAAAAGACAATTATGACATTGGAGAACTGGACTAACAAAGGGTATCACCTTCATAGGCAGACCATAAATTTCAATTTCTTTAGGGATATTCCTTCCAGAAAAAGTTAAACAAATAGTACTTGTAGGGATGAAAGTGGTTTCTGAATTATTTTGCATAACCCTTCTATTCATTCTTTTAACAAAGATAACTTTACAAAAGGGTAGATTAGTAGAAGTTGACATTTTAATTTCCTCTTCTGACAAAGATTTAAAAACTCCCCTAACAATACCTTTACAAGAGATAAGATGAGTGGGAATGAAAACCTCATAACCTAATTCTTCCCAGTCCTTCCTAAGGATAAACGAATTGGCAGATTGTCTGTCCTTGAATACTACCCCAACTCTATTTTTTCCCTTTCTATCAAACTTAGAAATATCTTTCAGTTTTAAATTAAAGATAGTCTTAGCAATACTTAGGACATGATAGTTACCCACATTACTATTTTTACCCTGAACAAAGACCTCAAAGGGCCCCAAATCTGATTCAGAATATAAACTTTTTTCCTTAATGTTTACATTCTCTGTAGCATTCTTTTTAGGCAGATTTTGACTTATATTAGGGTCGGGATCTGGTGGCCGGTCGGGAGGAATTTTTTCCTCCATAATGGCGAACGTTAACAAAGTTTAAATCTACCAAAAAGTTTAAATGTGGTTTGACTATATAGAAGATTAAGAAATATATAAAGGAATAGGATCACAAAGAAAATGTTAGTAGGGCTCTTACTTGTATTTTTCCACCTTCCACCATCAAACTTAAAAAAAAACCCACCTGGAATAACAATTATCCAAGCTTTAATTTCTAATCCAAAATAAGCGCAAATTCGTAAAATATACTGTACTTAAATTACAAAAATGCGCAGAAAACTTTGAAATGCGTATTCAAACTTTGACAGTTCAACTGACAATCAACCTCTATTTTTACAGTGATAGTAGTTTAACAGTGACGTACATACAACGTTTTTGCACGGATACCAACATTGCGGTACGAAAAACTCAGGGAAGGAAAATGTTATTAGCCAGATTGGAAGAAGTTTGCGTTGATCTTTGGATATACAACAATATTGCATTAAACCTCACTTTGATCCAATCTGTCGCTTACAACATTGCTGCGGTCCACCATTCAATTATTGCTGTCACCATCTGACTTAATATTATCTCTATATTAGTTTTATCAACTTTTGCTTTGATTGAAAAACAGTATTTTCCCATAAAAGTACAAGGTTTAATCAACAAACGAAAGTAAAATATGTCCATTTGTTTTAAAATTGCAAATTTTAAACTGTACCTTAGGAACAAATAATCCAATCAAGCTAAACTTTTAACTGGTGAAGTTTGAAGTTTGACACTTTAATGACTATGTGTCCCGAAACTTATTGATTGATGTTGTATGTACAATTATAATTATGAGATTAATCCAGTTCGGGAATTTTCATTTATCCAGTATTAGTTTTATTAAAGTATAAACGCTGTTAGCTTTTTTTATTTATATTACTATTTTTTTATTACTTGGATCGTATTTTTCTGTAGTTTTAGTTGCAAAGAAACTAAAGTTATGTCATTATTATATATCTTGATATCTAAAAAGTAAGTCATTTTGTGGATGATTTTTTTATATACAACCATTATTTTATTTTAGCATCAATATTGGAGATGTGGAATTATCAGTAAATGCTGTAGCCGATCTTTCAAAGATTCCCAAAATTTCAGTTTCTAAGGTGGACGTAGTTTTGGTCGTAGGATCAGTTACAGTAAGTTAAAAAAAATCTACTAAAAACCAAAAGTAATAATGACATAAAATCTTTTTCTACTTCTCTTACTAGTAAATTGTATATTACCTACTATTTGTATGCTAAGTAAATGCATCATAACAGATACTGACACGTAATGACTAGCACGTAATAAAAAAAATTACGCTTCAGTTCTATAAAAATGTGTAATATCACATAAGCCTTGTAAGTCAGTTGGTCGAGTTACCATGGAAACGAATTAACAGGCGTTGTTTTGACAGGTTAAAAATTATTAATCTGTCAGTGTAAATATAGTGGTAATTTAATTTTTATTTTTATACACAAAAATAATGGTAGAAAAAGTATAGTACACAACTTGAGTTGTAAGCTTATTACATGCTTGTAAAATTACTGCGCTCGCCGCTACGCGGCTCGCGCGCAACTTTTTCACTCGCATGTAATAAGCTTCTTACAACTCTCGTTATGTAATATACTATTTTCTACTCTCTTCTAGTAAATTGTCTATTACCTACTATTTGGATGCTAAGTAAATGCATCGTAACAGATACTGACACGTAATGACTAGCACGTAATAAAAAAAATTACGCTTCAATTTTATATAAAATGTGTAATATCACATAAAGCCTCGTAAGTCAGTTGGTCGAGTTACCATGGAAACGAATAAACAGACGTTATTTTGACAGATTAAAAATTATTAATCTGTCAGTGTAAATATAGTGGTAATTTAATTTTTATTTTATAAACGAAATAATGGTAGAAAAAGTATAGTACACAACTTGAGTTGTAAGTTTATTACATGCTTGTAAAATTACTGCGCTCGCCGCTACGCGGCTCGCGCGCAACTTTTTTTACTCGCATGTAATAAGCTTCTTACAACTCTCGTTATGTAGGTAATATACTATTTTTTTACTCTCTTACTAGTAAATTGTATATTACCTACTATTTGGATGCTAAGTAAATGCATCATAACAGATACTGACACGTAATGACTAGCACGTAATAAAAAAAATACGCTTCAGTTTTTTTAAAAATGTGTAATATCACATAAGCCTTGTAAGTCAGTTGGTCGCGTTATAATAAAAACCAATTAACAGACGTTATTTTGACAGATTAAAAATTATTAATCTGTCAGTGTAAATATAGTGGTAATTTTATTTTTATTGTTATAGACGAAAATAATTGTAGAAAAAGTATAGTACACAACTTGAGTTGTAGGCTTATTACATGCTTGTAAAATTACTGCGCTCGCCGCTACGCGGCTCGCTCGCAACTTTTTTACTCGCATGTAATAAGCTTCTTACAACTCTCGTTATGTAATATACTATTAATTTATCTGTACATTTGAATATTTGAGTATATATCTATTGTATGAAGAAAGTAAAGCTGTTAGTTTTGTTTGAAGTGGAGTCCTATTGATGTCCAAAATTAGAGAAAATTATAATGTTGACGCTATAAACGTATTAAAAAATATCAAAACTCTCTTCATGAGATATTTACCTCTGAACTCAAATGGCATTTAACCATAACAGGGTGAAGCACTATAAAATTGAAAAGTATATAGAAAGATACCTTACATGATATTGAAAATAAAAAAGATATATCTTATGACAGTGCTAGTATATGCAGCCATTACAACGGATATGTTAGAACATTTATAAGTATTTTATTAAGACGTGACAAATGTCCTTGAAAAAGAGCGAACAGCAACAATTATTGGAGATTTTAATACAATACAGTAGACTCGCGATTATCCGAGACGATTGGGACCACGCATACCTCAAATACCGAAAAACTTGGAAAATGCGGAGATCGGGTATTTGCTTAAAATAAAAGAAAAATTCAAAAGTTATAAAAAGAGAAATCATACGATTTCTACCTGGCGATATCGAATTCAAATATAAGCCGCCCTGCCCCCTAAGACTTGCGAAGCAAACAGCTTGATGAATGCATCGTCAAGGGAGTCTAAAAATTGCACTCCAAATGCCGTTCATCATGGCCTATATTCGTAGTGAATTCGATTTCTGGTACTCCAAATGAAGTAAAAAACAAAACAAAATGACGGTATTATATTTTGATTTGATACAGAGCAGCAACAAGCCGCATATACGTATGTCGATCTCTTTAGATCTCCTCAGTACGGTATAATTAATACCGTATTATGGTACCGTATTAAATAATAATATATAAAATATAATACCGTCATTTTGTTTTGTTAATTTACTTCATTTGGAGTACCAGAAATCGAATTCACTACGAATATAGGCCATGATGAACGGCATTTGGAGTGCAATTTTTAGACTCCCTTGCCGATGCATTCATCAAGCTGTTTGCTTCGCAAGTCTTAGGGGGCAGGGCGGCTTATATTTGAATTCGATTTCGCCAGGTGGAAATCGTATGATTTCTCTTTTTGTTCTTATATGGCGTAGTTACGTCAGTAAATAGTTATTTTTAATAACTATAGTCTACGACGGGAAAATATTTTAGTTTGATATGGAGTAGTAACTATACCGTACTGAGGAGATCTAAAGAGATCGAAATACGTATATGCGGCTTGTTGCTGCTCTGTATCAAATCAAAATATTATACCGTTATTTTGTTTAAAAGTTATAATTTATGTAATTAGTTTATTATGTACAATTGAAGTATGTTAACCTGTATACAGAGTACATAGTTAAAATACATAAACAGGAAAACATTTACGTACTGGATCATCATCATGTTTTAAAAAAGTCTTTGATAGATTTCTATGTTAACTTCGGACCTTGTTTTGATGCTGCGATGTTGCGCCAACTCTGAAGATGAAGGCCATCGGTAGGGGTTGACTCTTTCTGTTGCTCAATGTAGGAGAGGGCAGCTCCAATCGCCTGCAATCCTTCGGAGTCAGATATTTTTTCGATTATCTCATCTGTGTCTCCTCAGTTGTGCGTTGATAACCATGTCGGCGCTTGTATCATCAATCAGTTCCATTTGCTGATCCACTGGTTGACGTGTTCATCATTTATCGGCAGTTCCGTTAATAACTGATTAGCTAGGTCTACTATTTCAGCAATACAGTTATTGTTAACTTTTCCATCACTTGTTACTCTCAGATCATCCCACGCTGAAGCTATCCAGTAAGACACATCCTTAACGGTGATCTTTTTAAGGGCTGCTGTCACAGTTCTTCCCTCATCCAACCAGGTCAACAACACTTGGAGAAACCTTCGACGATAGTTTCTTTCCATAGCCTCTAAAACTCCTTGGTCCAGAGGTTGAATGAGAGATGTGCGGTTTGGTGGCAGGAAAACAGCTTTAATGTCACCTCTAACCAACGAACTTGCATCTGGATGAGCTGACTTGTATAAAAGTAGAATAGCTTTTCTTGTTAGGTTTTTCTTTTTTAAGTAGGCCTCAACAACGCAAACGAACTCAAAAACAGTCTTTAAAAATTTGGCAATCCATCCACACACTACATTGATTCCTGTACATGGTGGGTAGGTACTTTACTTAAATATTTTTAAAAACCCTTGGATTCTTCGATTTTCCGATAAGTAGATGTCTTAACTTTAAGGATCCAGAAGGGTTGCTACACATTAAAAGAGTTATTCGTTTTTGATTTCTTTGTATTTAGGCGCAGTTTTTTCACTTGGGACTGCCAACGCTTTTGTTGGAAGAAGACCCGTTTCGTCACAATTGAAGATTTGGTCTGAATCTTTTCCTTTATTTATAGAAACTGCTTTGTAGTAACTGACTTCATTTACCACAAAATTGGTTACGAAAGCTGCATTTTTCACATTCAAAATCGTCGGTGGCTACAAGCGTTGTTTCTGAAAGAACAATTCATTTTAGAGGAAAACAGTTAATTAACAATTTTGTTAATAATTATCTCATTTCTCAGTTTTATTTTTTTTAAACAGTTTTTTTCTAGAGATTTTTAATAAATTTATTAATAAAATTTTCCATTCCCCCCTTAAGAGGGAGTTTAGGGAAAAGCCTGGTAGTAGAACTTTTTAGGGTACCAAAATTAATATTCTTCAGTTGCATCTATGGTAGCATTTTCATCTCTGACGACTGGAGTATAACGGCCGAATATTTTTTTTTATAAAAAAATTTTACGTTTAACGTGATAGAACATTATAATAAAACTTTTGAAAACTCGAACACAATAGAGTAAAATGTTTAATGCATTTAAAAAAGTTTTGTACTTTATTTCTATTAAAAATTTTTTAGTAAGTTGTTGAAGGATTCTTTTAATGTAGAAGTAAAAAAAGACCAAGTGGTGTAAATGGAAATGTCCAAGCCATATCATTGATATGGCTTGTAAATTTCTCAATAACCAGGGAATATAGTAGCAACCATAGGGATTCAAATAAAGTAAAGCAGGAGCCCTGAATAATTGCACGAACTCTTTTAAAATTCATAATGCTGGAACCAGATGAAAAATAACAGCAATACAACATACTGACTCCAGATGGATAAATTATAAGTACTCTCCTTACAAAATATCTCTACCCATTAATATTTATCTCTATTGTTTTTTTACAGTTCAACTTAAACGGTCTCTTGGACAACCCAGAATTCACAGCTTTGGTTAATACTCTTCTCAACGACAACGTAGCTAAATTCATCGACGAACATGGTGCTTTCCTGACACCAATTATCGATGAAGTGGTTAAAGATCTTATCAATTCGCTTTTTGCTTAGGCACCGCCAAGATGCAATCAGAAACAATGCCGAACCATGTTAGAAGGTTGTGGGGATTTTTGTTTCCTTAGTGTAACTTATTGAGTCTATTACACACTGTATTAAAATAATACTGAGTATTGTGTAAATAAATAATAAATAATGACACATAATTCTTTATTTTTTTTCCATTGCTTCTCAATATTTCCCTTCATGTGATGAAAATATATGCTAACAAAAAATTATAATAATTTATGTTTCTTCTTCGGGAGCAAAAAAAAATATCCCCATTTTCTCAAAAGAATAAAAATAAAAACTTAATAAACAAAAATAAGTTGAAAAAAAAATAATCGTAAGTCAGAAAACATTACTATTTTACTATACTATTATCATACAGCATTCTCACTACCTCTATTTCTTCATCGCTTTCCTTCGACTGCTAGTGCAAAGTAAATGGGTTCTCATCTTTAAGCTTAAACCGCTTGGACCTCGCTGATACTAGGTCCTGGTACAATAATTTCAATTTATTAACTATAAAAAGAAACTTTACTGGCTGGCTCAGCTGTCAGTCGGTTTCTTTTTGAATATTGTGAAGAGTACAACTAAATGTACTAAAATTTCTTTCAGTAGCCGCGTGGGCCACAGACATTTCCAGAATTTAAACCGCTAATTTATTTTTTAAAATTTTTGTTCCAAAACAGATTTCTTTTAACCAAATCTTGGGTTTTAACGTATTGATGAACCTTAGAATTTATGGTTTTACAAAAAAATCGTTCGTTAGATCAGTAATACGCCAATTCTGGCCATCTGAGTATTTTGGGTTAGCCATATTGCCAATAAACTTCCGAACAAACTTCTAAACTTTTGAAAACAAGTTTTATGAATTTGCTTGTGATTGGTCAAATGTATTGGGTTTATAGCTGTATACTTCCTTTTTCCTAAAAATTGCTGGAAATGTTGCCCTTCTTAGAGGAAGGAAACTTGAAAATAACACTGTTTGAAAATATTTTCCAGGCGATAGAAATATTCTATTGGTTTATATATTCAATAATGGGGTTAATTAAACTAAACTAAATTAAACAGCTTTAACCAACGAGTTTTACGAGTTTTGATGAGTGCCTTTAAAGCTACTAGTGGAGCTGCCTTCTTTTTGTAGTATGAATTTTAGTGAAAGCGGCCAGTTAAAGATGAGAATCATTAATTTCCTTAACGATAGTTTTAACATCATTCTCTAAGCCATGACATCCTAGACCGGCAGGAAAACTTGTGTTGAACACCGATGCCAGCAACAGTGCAATAGGAGCTGTTCTCTCACAAATCCAAAATGGGCAGAAGAAAGTCATCTCTTACTTTAGCAAAGTCTTGTCGAAACCAGAAAGAAACTATTGCGTTACCAGGAGAGAATTGCTAGGCGTAGTGAAGGCTTGAGAGCATTTCCATTAAATTAGAAGTGCGACTTTGCCCCGTGAGATGAACCACCGTCATTAATGATCAATGGCAGCCTCAACAGCTACAAGACGCCTAAGCAGATGATCCATGTATAAAAAGAGTATTGGATTGGATACATCAAAGTGAGAGGCCTTCTTGGCAAGATATTAGTGCATGTAGTCTAGAAGTCAAGTGTTCCTGGAGCCAATGGAATTGCCTAGTGCTAAATAATTTTCTGTATGGACCCTTTGAGAATGATGATGGTACAGAATCTAAGCTTCAGTTGATTATTCCTAAAAAAAGTGTCAGAAGTATTGCGTCAGTTGCATGACGGTGGACAGCAAGTGGACACTTTTGGTATTACGAAGACTCTGCAAAAGGTTCGAGAACGGTTCTATTGGGTGAACTGTAAAGATGATGTAAGAAGATGGTGCCGGAAGTGTGAACTGTGTGCAACCAGTACTAATCCAGTTCATAAAAAGAGGGCACCCATGCAACAGTACAATGTTGGTAGTCCTATAGAAAGAGTAGAAATTGACATTGCAGGTCCACTTCCAGAGACGAATGATGGAAATACATTTATCCTGGTAGCCAAGGATTATTTTACAAATGGACTGAGGCGTATACGATACCAAATATAGAAGCTGCTACCATTGTAGACGTACTGGTTGCAGAATTCTTTAGCCGATTTGGTGTTCCCTTGAAGACCATTCATGTTTTCCAATTTCTCTTGTAGTCCGTAGAGTTTTCATCTTTTGCCATGAAACGTATATTGTATATTTATCTATGTTCTACTCTTAGGAATGAAACAAAAACTAACATGTTGTCATTCTTTTGGAATATAGCCTAAGATAAAATTCATCTTAAACATTTTTGCTATATGCGGCATCCATACCCCACTGTGACAGGACTAGAAAATATATGCTCAAACTGTTTATTTATGTTAAATTTATCTATTTTCTATTATATAACCATGTTAAAACTATTTATAGCCTATTCGATTCTACGTTTAATAAAAATTATGTCTTCTGGACTCTTTGATATTTTTGATGATCTGTATATTTATTATACAAATTCAATCTTTTCTTCATTTTTAATAAATATTGCACCAGGAAACTGAGCATTCAAAAAAGCATCTCATACTTTCCTCTTTAGTTTTGGTAAACCCATTGTTTGGCATAACTATCAGATGCTGTTAGAGTGATATTTTGAGCGATTATCCCTTCGCAAAAATGCCACCGTGTTCTCCCTTCATATTTGCAACTTTATACATATTGTTTACTATGGAGTTTGTAGTATAATAATCTGGGAAGGTATTATTTGGAAGGGATACTTGACATAATAACTACAGATATTACGAATACTATCCAGGATAATATTTTACTTTATAAGAGGTATATTGGACACTACAGATTTTTTACAATAATTAACAACACAGTTTTTTATTGGTTCATTTACAGCTGCAAGTTTGTCAAGGACATGGACCCTTATAGAGATAACTATAGCCACTTTAGATTATCTGATAGTTTATGTTATAGTCGTTTAATAAAAACGCAGTGTTAAAACTTACAGTTCCAATCAAAAACATTGAGTAGTGATAAAAGTATTGAAGGTAACGAAATGAAGGTCTTATTAGTTTGCTGTGCTTTAGTATTTGGTTTGACAAATGCACATGTCATTTCAGAATATGGTAAGTATATAATAGCCTTAAATTTACATCGATTCTTTATATTTTTACTCTATTTTTTATAGTGTCACTCTTGTTTTTACTTTTAATTCATAATGTAAAAAATCGAACATTATAGAATATTATTTTGAATATTTTTAAAGTATTTAATTATAACTCAGAAGTAATAATTAAATATTATAACTCATTATAATTAATTTAATTAATTACTAATCAATTTACTGTTTGTATTTTGAGAACGATTTCCGAAGTGGAAATTGAAACGTCAATATACGTTTGTTGACGTTTCAATTTCCATCTTTATCTTTCCATTTTTATCTTTAATTGTGGCTTATTCCCAGTTAAATAGTAATTAACTCAGGAGTTATATAAAAATGTATCGTAGATAATTAATATTTAATGAAGAATTCACTTACTCTGTATAACATTCATAACAAATGTTTAACTAATTACAGAATAGTCAATCTGTTGCTTTGTAAATATTTAAGGACATATCTGCTACCTTGCCCAATAACCTTAGTTCTAATATGTTGTAATATTCCAAATTAAATTTTCTGTTCTTGCTATTAAATTTTAAAGAAAATAAGTGAGTCTAAAATACATTTTAGCTCATTGTAAGAAAATTTAATGGTCATTACAAGTCAATCCATATAGTAAAGTATTTTTTCAATGTCAACAGTGTTACCATTTTAATAAAACCAATATATCAGTATAATACAAGAAAAACCTTATGAATACGACACAGACCTATATATGTATATAGACTTTAAGCAAACTTTTGATAGTGTGAAAAGAGACAGAATGCTGGAAGACCTTTGTAATCTAGGTATACCTAAGAAATACATCAGAATCATAAAAATGACGTTGCAGGGTTCAAAAGCCGCAGTCAGAGTAGATGGAGAACTGACTCCCCTGTTTAACATCAACATGGGAGTAAGACAGGGAGATGCCCTATCAACCATGCTATTCAACCTAGTTCTTGAGGCAGTCATCAGAAAAACCAATATAACCGGCCATATAAACACCAAATCAGTACAAATTACTGCATATGCAGACGATGTAGCCATCATTAGTAGGAATAAGCCACGACTAATGGAAGTGTTCAAACAAATTGATCCTGAAGCAAGAAAAAGAGGTCTCAAAATATGACAGTCAAAAGAATAACTAACAATGAAAATAATATCACAATAGACAACTATACTATCGAACGAGTGGATGCCTTTACATATCTCGGCACAGAAATCAATCAGAAGAACTCCGTAAGTAGCGAAATTAATGCACGTATTTCCAGCGGGAATCGTACATACTATGCTAATAAAAGATTGATGACATCGAAATTATTAGACAAAAGAACCAAAATGTCTATCTACAGAACACTGATTAGACCCGTAGTAACCTATGGATGTGAAACTTGAGTAATGACGAAAAAAGATGAAGCCCAACTCAGGACATTCGAGAGAAAAATACTGAGGAAAGTATATGGCCCGGAAAAAGAGGAAGATGGCACATGGAAAATCAGAAGAAACAACGAGGTTAATGAGTTAAATAAGGGTTATGACATTGTAAGATTTGTGAAAAGTCAAAGACTGTCATGGCTGGGACATGTGCAGAGACAAAACGATGCAAAAACAACAAAGAAAATAAATGACGGTTGCGTTTCGATTTAATTTGTATCTCTTACCACTCCCTGACACGTGTTTCTGGGTCTACCCGTCATCAGAAGGAGTTTGTAAGAAGACTCGTTACAATGGAAGCCCATAGGAAGGCGAAAAAAAGGAAGGCCCAGAACGAGATGATTGGATGACGTGAAAGACGACCTGAAAACAATGAATATAAGACAATCGAGAAGAAGGGCACAAGAGAGATCTGAATGGAAGGACATAGCCACACAGGCAAAGGCCCATCCAGGGTTATGATGCCAAAAGAAGAAGAATATATCAGTAGTTTCAATCAGCGTATTGTTATTTATCACTATCAAAAATCAACATAAGCAGAAATAACAAATTGTATCAGAAATACAATACAATAATAGTTATTAATTTAAAAATGTATTTTCTTTATAAATGACGTACAATCAGAAAAAATTCTTTATTACTCTAAATTCCCTATATGACGTATAATCAGAAAAAATTCTTTATTACTCTTAATTCCCTATTTAAACTATTTAAACTGCTTATTTTTGGGCCCAAAATACACACATGGACAAAAATATCGAATATTTTGGAATTTTCCAATTTTTTTTTGTAGTCATTACATTTGAAAAAAATTTGAGACTACTGATGACTCTCATATAGTAGGCTTATGTACTCAACTGGTTTAAAATATTTTGACCTTTATTTTTACGTTTATTCAGCGTTTAGTGTCATTCGTAGATTTTATCATAAAAACCTTCTTCAAGTAAAGGAAAAATCATACTAATTCGGTTATTTTCAGTTTAATTTATTGAGTTTAATTAAATATTGTTTTGATTTAACAAGTTTAAAATAAGTATGTCACCAATTCGATACTGCGATGAAGCCCAAGTAGCGCAGATGATAATTATTTACCAGGAAGGATATGCACAAAAAGATATCGCACGATGACGAAGTGTCAGGAGAAGTCAATCTAGTTTCGAATACTTTAAAAAAGGTACCGCGAAACAGAAAATTTCGTATGAAGGACTGCTCAAGGACGCCTAAGGTGCACAGCCGCACTTGATGACCGTTTTTTAGTTCTTATTTCTATACTAAATCGTTTATTGACATCGATGCACCTCAGAAATGAGCTATTAACTGTTACACAAGTTCATGTAAGTTCAGAAACAGTTACACGAAGATTAAAAGAAGCAAACTTAAAGCCCAGACTCCCCGCCAAAGTTCTACGTCTTCTACAAAATCATAAATCTCTTCGTAAGAATTTGCAAAAACACATATTCAGTGGAATATCGACAACTAAAAAAATGTTCTTTCAACCAAGAGTTGGAAAACGATTCGCCAGCCGCTATCTCGCCCAGACCGTTAGTTTTGTAGGGGGGGCATAGTTATTTGAAAAGGTAATTAGTTGGGAGGTACGCGTTATGTTCGAGACTACATAACAAACCAACAAATCCGACAAAGATCAGGAGTTCAAGACGGCATCGAAAGAACCACGACGTTTAAGTGGAACTGGGTAGGGCACTTAGTCAGAACACAAGATGGACGGTGGGCAAGACGTATTATGAAATGGAGGCCCAGAAACTATAAAAGAAGCCGAGGACGACCACCGACTAGATGGACCGATGATATAAAACTTGTAGCGGGAAACTGGCTACGAACGGCCCAGTGTAGAGAACACTGGAAAGAACTCACGGAGGCCTATATCCAGCAGTGGACGCAATTGGCTGATTAATGATGATGACGCACCACACTTTTGGAAGTGATTGGACGGATGACCGGTGACTCTTACGTTTAAAGCATCCTGCAAGCTCATGTTTTTGCCATATGTTGATTACATTGGATATGAAAGATTCATGTTAATGCACAATAATGCTGAACCACATACCGCAGCCATAGTAAGTTTTTATCTTGATGAGGTTCAAATTCGAAGATTTTATTGGTCACCGTTTAGCCCAGATTTAAATCCAATAGAGCACATGTGGGATCACTTAAAACGACGCATACGACAGAGAAATCCCATTCCAAATACCATAGAGCAGCTTCGGCTTGCTGCACAGGATAAATAGAATGCAATTTACCAAAAATATGTACAAAATTTACTTGCAAGCATACCCAGAAGGATGCAAGTAGTAAAAGCTAGAGGGAAAAATATTCGTTACTGATCATGCACTTCTTTTAATTAAAAAGACTTGTTAAGCCATTTTAATTAGCATTTAAGTTTAAAGTTTAAAGTTTAACTTTATTTTAATAATATTAAGCATTTAGTTTTTTCGCAATTTTCTCCGCATAAAAACTTAAAATTGTTTATTAAACATTGTTACTTGTCTTGATTGACCAGAATTTATTCTGACAAAATAAAAATTAGGAAATTCTAATATATTCGATATTTTTGTCCATGAGTGTAATTTTTAAAATTTGCAAGTTTTGTTGCAAACTCTGAATTGCAAAATTTAATACACATTTCAGTCGTGTTATAAAGTTCTTCTCGCGAAATATGACGGCTCTATTATATATTGTATGATATGTTTAAAAAAATGTCGAAAACTCTATTTTTTGCACTCTTTACTCAATTATTGCTATTTTAAACAGTAAACAATGAATTTTCAACTTCTAGCTAGTCCAGTATTATGTAAAATTAAAAAAAGAAGCTTTTATTTGGTGTAAGTTTTTTTGTACGAACAATATCTATCGGGTTACAGGCGAAAATATGGGCGCAAAAAGCAAAAAAAGATTTTTCAGATTTTGTTCAATAAAAAAATAAGGACAATATCAAATGTACATCCTGAAGTAATTTTTGTACAAAATAGACTTCTATGGAAAATGTCCAATTGAAAACAAATTCCGTCTGGATTAACTAGTTTATAATAATAATTTTCCATTACGTTAAACTTTTTGTATTATATTTTTAGAAAACGAAAATGTAGCATTGCAAGGAATGTTTGAAGACATACTGAATGGCACCATTAATGGCATTTTAGGCAAAATGACGGATCCTTTGGTATTGAATGACACAAATTTGGTATTTAAAGAAGAAGGGACGTTGGAGTAAGTATGATGTATACTATGAAGGTTGTAGATTGTTGTTGTTTTTATATATTCCTATATTTTATATACATAGTAAGATGAATTTAAAAGCTATTTTGGGAATTCAATTCGTATAATGTCTGCAAACTTTGTGACCATATTATTATATATATATATATATATATATATATATATATATATATATATATATATATATATAATGTTAAAATTCTTATGAAATCATCTAAACTGATCTTAGTATGTGGAGAGATGTTGTTCCAGTTATTTTTAATACTGTTAAGAATAGCATCTAGTGGTAAGTTTGTAAACAATGACACAACATCTAAACTAATCAATATATAATTATTTGGAACTTTAACATTGTTAATAAAGTTACTAAATGAAAAAGAATCTCTAATATAGAATTCATTGGATTCATTGTAGGAAATTGTGAGAATATCTGTAAGGTGTTTAGCAAGTTTACTATTAGGAGCATCAATACAATAGGCCTCATTGAAATAGTGGGTTTATGAACTTTAGGTAGTGTATAAAACCTATAAATATATATATATATATATATATATATATATATATATATATATATATATAATATATATATATATATATATATATATAATATATATATATATATATATATATATATATATATATATAAATATATTATATATATATATATATATATATATATATATCGGAAAAAGGAGTACGACCGTCAATCCAATATATATATAAGGATCACTCAGACGAGTGGTGGGTTCTTATATCGGTCTCTAGGTGGAGAAATAAAAGACAAAGTTGATAGGCTACTTTATCTATTTTGAAGACGTTTCGCTTTCGAGTTTTGAAAGCATCATCAGTTCATCTAAAAAATTATTACAATATGAGAACCACACAATCATGGAAACGATGTTAATTGTTACCTTAAAAAGATATGTAGCAGTCAATGTTATTAACAAATATGTGAATGAAACTAAGTAAATGGACATAGTACGCTGATCTTGTATAAACAGTTAAGCAACTAACAACATATATGAACTTGTACAAAAATTAGCACAGCAATTGACCATGTGGTCCAAAATAAATTCAATGTTATTTATATTAATAAGTGAGAAAGAACCAAGAAAATCATAAATAACCTCCAACTATTTAATGGATATTAAACTTTGATTTTAACTTTAGGTAGCATTATAAGTAATATTAATAAAATTCTACAAAATAGTGAATATGAAGTTACCGATCAAAGCCTTGTGGATGTCGCCGTGAAAATGGCGTTAGATGAAACAGGAACGAACTAACCGCAAAAAGACAGCCAACCTTGAGGTCAAAATTACTTTTGACAGATCAACAAGGTGTAAATACCAACCCAGAATTTTGGGCGGTTAATTTAATTTTTATATTTTATAACTGAGTCTGGATGACTTCCAGGTTGTAAAGGACAACAACAGTGAAAAAAGTTGGTAGTGTACACACAACTCCCCTCACTAACCGGCCCAAATTTACAAACCGGAGATTTGCATTCAAACTCATAATAATGTGATGACGTTAATCATGTGGCAAGTTAAATAGTCAGGTGATTAACGATATTATAATCTCCATACAGCCCAAGGTTCACTATACTTGGAGCTGTGATTTGTAAAGGATTCTATGAATCAATTACAATGTTTGTATTATTTTATATATAATTTAAAACTCTAATCAAAGAATTTAGTATAATGAAATGCAATATGGGTTGCATATGTAATAGTAAAATTAAGTAAAGAAATTAAGTTATTTAATTGATATATTTATTTATTTTATTTCTATTTATGTATGTAAATTATTTTATGAAAAGTGGAAAAAAGTTCAACTAGTACACCTAATATGACATTAATGTAGTGAAAAGATTAAGTAGCCTAATTCTGCAATATTAAAGCATGATATATCTGGCTCAAGTTACTTATGTCAGTTCTCTTATTCAATGCATTAGGATGTTTTAATATTGAACACATTTCCAAAAACTGTCTTTTCGCTAGATTGCGTTCAGTGGCAAGAATCTTAACTTCATTAAAATCCACTTCATGTTTTGTATTTATCGCATGTTGTGCTAGAGCACAAGTGTGTTTCGATAAGTTAATGTCGCTACGATGTGAAGTGAGACGACCTTTCAATGATCTACCAGATTGCCCAATGTAACAAAGATCGCAATTAGCGCATGGAATTTTATAAATTGTGTTCACTTGTTCCAAAGTGGACAAGGGTGTTTTAGTTTTAGAGAACAAATTTCTAACAGTTTTTGCATTCTTAACAGCAATTTTAACAGGTATATTATTTTGTTTATACAATTTAATAAGCTTCTCAGTAACTTGAGGGAAATATGGTAAGGAAGAGTAATGCGTGATAGTATTCTCAAGATCGGTATTATGCAGAACAGTGCTATTTATAGAATTATTAGAGATGTTTATAAGTTGGTCACCATCGGGTATGTCATAAATTGAGGATCCGTAACTATGTGAATAAAGGTATTTATTGATGATAGAGGAAGGATATGAATTCTCTATTAGAATATTTCTCAATAACTTAAAGGATTCCCTTCGATTAATTGGATGTGTCAATTTATTTAATCTAAAGCTTAAAGCTTTTATCAGGTTTAGTTTATATTTCATAGGATGACAGGAATGGTAGTTAAGGAACCTATTAGAGGCCATTGATTTTCTATACCAACTTGTGGTTAGAGTGTTATCTGCCATTCTGATGACACGCATGTCAAGGAAGGGTATACTATTGGTGGTAGTGTCCTCAAGTTCAACAGTGAACTGTAAATGAGGATCAAACTCATTAAAGTGGGATAGGGTACCCTGAACCTTGTCAGGTGGTAGGGCTAATAATAAATCATCCACATACCTTTTAATAAAAGGGATTTGAAAATCCAAAAGACCCAAACGGTCAGAAACCAAATCATCCAATACAAAGTTAACTAGGATGGGAGAGATTGAGGAACCCATAGGTGTACCAAATGTTTGAAGGTAAAATTTGTCATCAAAGACTAAAAAATTAGTGTCAAACACAAGTTGTAACAGTTCTGCAAATATATCCCAAGACACCGGGCAGTTAGGTTTGATAGAATTCCAATGGTTTTTTAAGGAAGTAATTACACTGGACAAAGGTAAGTTAGTGAAAAGAGATACCACATCAAAACTTACTAAAATGTACCCTTGAGGTAGTTGAAAATTGTTAATAAATTCACTAAAATTGAAAGAATCAACAATGTTGAAATCATTGTTGTAATTATATGATTTAGACAAGATGTCTGTTAGAAATTTAGCTATTTTAATATTAGGTGAGTTAATTGATGACACAATAGGTCTCATGCTCAACGTAGGTTTATGTATTTTAGGTAAACAGTAGAATCTTGGAGCATATCCATCATAATTATGTAAAGACTTAGCTAAAGGTTGATCTATGATCTTAATGTTTTTTAAATGTGTTATAAATTTATTTATTTTATTTGTGAATTTAGAACAAGGATTAGAAGATAGTGGTTGATAGTATCTATCATCATCTAACAGTGATTTACTCAAACTGAAATATTGATCTTTGTCCATAAGGACAGTAGCATTACCTTTGTCACTCGTAAGAACGAGAAGATTAGGGTGGGTTTTTAAAAACGATACCGTCTCCCTGTAAATCTTATCTAACTCTGATAAGGGTTGCCTAGGGCGTTTAGTGAAATTCAACAAGATGTTGTTCGAAGATGACCTAAGAGATAGAAGGTCGGAATTGTCCGCATGAGACAAAATATTCTCAACATCTGCTAAGATTCTACTAATTGAGTAGTCCTTGAACGAAGGTTGAAGGCCAAATTTAGGACCCAAAGATAACAGCTTCAGTATGTCAGGAGGAACCTCAATATTAGATAAATTCTTAATCCACTTAGGATTAAATGGGATTTTCTTGAAATCAGGTGTATCTAAGTTATTAAGTTTATTTTTAAGTTTAGTTATGGATTTATTATAAAAGTAATTAAATTTTCTATGTAGAGAAGCCTCAAAAGTGTCCAACAAATTGTCAGGTAGGTGACTATCCAGAAACGAAGTAACATTATTTATTAGAAAAGTTAAAGATTTAATATCTGTGTGAACCTTAGAAATACCACCTTCCAAATACAACCTTCCTTCTTGAGTGTAGGAGAACTAAGAAAATCCCACGTTTCATTGTTGACACCATCTCCAACATCCTTGCATCGACATCTAGTTCCACAGACAACGGACTGTACCGTAGAAGCCAGGCTTTGAATAGACAGGTGAGGGTGCGATTGCTTAATTTCCATATTTCTAAGGTTCACACAGATATTAAATCTTTAACTTTTCAAATAAATAATGTTACTTCGTTTCTGGATAGTCACCTACCTGACAATTTGTTGGACACTTTTGAGGCTTCTCTACATAGAAAATTTAATTACTTTTATAATAAATCCATAACTAAACTTAAAAATAAACTTAATAACTTAGATACACCTGATTTCAAGAAAATCCCATTTAATCCTAAGTGGATTAAGAATTTATCTAATATTGAGGTTCCTCCTGACATACTGAAGCTGTTATCTTTGGGTCCTAAATTTGGCCTTCAACCTTCGTTCAAGGACTACTCAATTAGTAGAATCTTAGCAGATGTTGAGAATATTTTGTCTCATGCGGACAATTCCGACCTTCTATCTCTTAGGTCATCTTCGAACAACATCTTGTTGAATTTCACTAAACGCCCTAGGCAACCCTTATCAGAGTTAGATAAGATTTACAGGGAGACGGTATCGTTTTTAAAAACCCACCCTAATCTTCTCGTTCTTACGAGTGACAAAGGTAATGCTACTGTCCTTATGGACAAAGATCAATATTTCAGTTTGAGTAAATCACTGTTAGATGATGATAGATACTATCAACCACTATCTTCTAATCCTTGTTCTAAATTCACAAATAAAATAAATAAATTTATAACACATTTAAAAAACATTAAGATCATAGATC